CTACCTTTGGTCGTATGTGCTAGATGAGCTGCAACCATAGCTCATAGCCTGCTAACCGCATCGTAGCATGCAGGTGTGCCAACCTGACTTGACTTGCATTGACCCTTGCTACAGATCGGAAACATCAGATTGTGTCTCATTCCGAGTGGAGCGCATTTTCCTACAAGATTTGAGTTTTCCAGGATATAACAAGGATACAGCATATTAAAGTATCAGGTCAGTCTATAGCCTTGTATTAGAATAACTATCCATCAAGTGCGGGAGAATAAGGACCCGGGAGTGTCAAAGATATCTTCTTCTTGTCGCGTTCTTTTTCACAATTAGCACACAATCCAGCGTGGTAGAATTTTGACTTCATGTAGTTCTTGCACTTTTCTCGGTTTCCGCTCTTTGGCTTCTTGCTGCAGTCGGTGTAAACGAACCATCCATGTATATGGTTGTAGCAGTCCTTGCAACGACGCTCGTTGACTTGTTCTAGGCACATGTTGATAGGGTTTCTTCTTTTGAGTATTTATAGTAGTTGGTTAGTAATAGTCAATTCTTATGTGTGGTTATATGGAATGGTGATAACTGCAAGGAGACTAGATGCTCTTTTATACTTGTTGTCAGCTGATGGAGAATGTGTCTATGTAGAACGAGGTTCCCATTCTGATAATGCAGAATATTTTGACATTCATTCACCAACACTGGTGATTATTGTCTCCTCAAAATCGACTGTCCATCAATATCTAAAGTCTATGATGTATTGAACCGGACACTCTAAACCCTTGGTGAGAATAATCACAGATGCGTTCTGTTCAAGTCAGTACCTTGAGGAACAATCCCTTCAAAGCATACGGACAAAACAACACCGTGCCATTGATGCGTCCGACTACTAAAACAGTGAACAATTCAGATGTTATCCGTGATTCACAAATATCTGTGTACAACACTATTGGCTACTTTGGTTGTTGGCCGGATCTATAATCTGACTCAGCACTTTATCACAGCCCACAACTACAGCAACTTCTCCAAAGCGACTTGACCTATTCACTTCTTCCAGTTTCAACTTGATACCACGGCCGTCATGTCTCTCCCAATTCTGAAAAGATATCTCCCCCTCTCCCTAGCCTGCCTCCTCTTCTACGGCAGCGCCTCACGCTTCACCCACGGTGCAACATCAACCTCATCATTCTACCAATACCAAAACGACCGCAGTCCAGATGACGGATCAACTACATCACGTATCATTCCCGTCGGCGATCTTATCATCAGTTTCGCCATTCTACTTGGTGGTATGTCTCAGAAGATTGCTACATGCTTTGTAGCTTCTACGATTGGCTGTGTGGCTGTTCAGAGATTGTTTGCTGGGTTGGATTGTCAGGGGGACTTTCTGCAGGCTGTTTGGGCTATTGCTACGGCTGTTGTTTCTCTCAAAGGCCCTTAAGACGCTATTGCTTTGGATAGCCCCAACTCCATATATCTTGCCGTCGGGGTATCATAAGAATTGGCCGTCGAGGGCATAAGAGATCAAATAATTTGATCACCATACGAAAGCTTAGAAAAGCCCTTAGGCTATTTTATTTTAGTAGCGTAAGCCTTGGAGTCAACCTCATTATATCACCAGTACCAGGACGACCGCAGTTAGACATTTTAATGCAATATTGCGTTGATCCATTGTTATCATTGGGAGATATCATGCCCAAGATCATTTAGTGTACTCTAGAACGTTGACTCCCTTAGACCTACCCAGCTCCACGACATTCTCCATTTCCTTAGATCCAACAAGAATCTGCGTAACATCTAGATATCTCAACTTGTTGAATTTGCATCCAGGCCCAGCTTCCTCTAGCAAAGTCTTTATGACGACCACAACACTAAGCCAGAAGTCAGGACCGCGCAGTGCTATAAGACGCTCCTCCAAACAATTCATCTGACGATTCCCCCAGGTGAGGGTTAACTCTTCGAGAGAAGCTGGTAGCTGGGAAGTGAGAAGGTCGGGCATGAATTTCCGTGAATCCTCAATTCTTGGAGGTAGGTCTTCCAAGTCCAGCGTGAGTTTTCGAAGATGAGAAAGACTTTTGAAGCTTTTCTCGATGACCATTCCATTATCTGCAGCAGCGAAACATAATATGAAAAAAGAATTTAAGCTTAAATAGGACTTGAGGTCCAAACGCAATTCTTCCAATGATCCGGGCTCTTCAATAAGAGCGTCTCTTATCGCTCTTCTTTGAGCCCCCTGTACCACAGAGAACCAGACATAGTGCAAGACGCGCAATCTTGAGCATGTAGCGAGTAATTTCCGAAGTGCGGCTCCTGTGACTTTTGAACAGTCGAGAAATAGTTCTTCGACCGTTGAGCAGCCTCTTGGGATCGGGAAGTCTTGTGAGCCTGTCATTTCCAGGTGCTTTATGTGAAATTTCTTCAACTTGGGCAACTGGAAGACGGATAGCGGGAACGCCACGACCCCATCAAGGCGACTCTCCCTCTCCCATGTTTCGATCTCAAGCCGCTGTACCTCAGCCAGTGGCATGCCGCTTGTAGAGACTTTCTGAACCGCCCCGTAGAAGAACTTCATCATCATTCCATGGGAACCGCTCATCTGGCCATCGACATACGGTCGCGGAAGCTCCATCGCCACGTCGGTCACACGAGTTGCCCAAGCCATCACGAGCACAGCAACAGCGTGAAAGCCTCCTATCTGGATTGTTCCAATCCAGTTACTCGATTGCACGAGGTTCGGGAGAGCCTCTTGAGCTGCTCTTGCAAGCTCTGCTAGGCTCTCTGGTCGTAGACGTACAGGAGACTGGTCGTACAAGGTTTGTCTCCTAGGGTTCGTTTTCCGGGTGCTGGGCGACATGAAGTTTAGAGTCTTGACTTGGGAGCGATGCTCAGGGTATCGAAGAAGGTGTAAGGCTAACAGCCCGAGGTGAGGTTGTTGGAAGGAGCTGTCTCTCTCCCAGTGACGCACTAGTAAGGGAAAGGCAACTTGTCGGATCTGCTTGTTCACGAGTGCGAGATCCCGCAACGGGCAAAACCGGTCATAAGTGGAAGCGAAGAGACATATCTCTCGCAGAAGCTCGTTTGGGAGACGCGCTATAAGATGAACCATGGCGGAATGTGGTTCGTATAGGTGGTGAATTCGTGCTATGAGAATTCGTGTAAAAGCTGAGTAGGGATGGCATGGCGAACAAGAAGTCACTTATAACGTAGGGATCTAAGTTTTTCAGCAAAGTTCAATTCACGCATCACAATTCTGATGCAACTTTTTCTTTCCTTCCCGCCCTTGAGATAGACTTTTCGCATTGCACAAGGTAACTTTTTGCCCTTTGAAGAAGTTGTCTACCCCGGCATCATTTAGATAGATGAAAGGCAATATCACCGGCTGTCGCACGTGTAGTCTGTAGAAGAAGGGAACAGGAAGAGAAAGAAAAAGAAGAAGAAAAAAGCTATTCTTTCCCCTACGCAAAGAAATGCTAAGCAAATTGCAATTGCAGGTATTGAAGATTACAAAGGAGAAAAAGTCAAAAAGATAATTTTGATGAGACTGGGACTCGAACCCAGGAGGATTGCTCCACCAGGAAATTGGTGTTAAGGTTAACCTTAACCTGGCGCCATAACCAACTCGGCCATCTCACCGAATTTTGATGGAAGCTTAATTGCAAATGCAGTATACAGATGCCGTCAGTACGCTTCTTGCCATTTCTCTAGTCACCCCAAGAGCCCAAGCCATTGAGGACTCCATTGTGTTTTTCCCTCTGGATGAGGACTCTCGTCTTCCGATGGGTAGTGTTTTTACTCATCTCGAGCGGGGTCCCAATAAGACTCAAAGTCTAGTGAGTCAATAGAGTTGGTGAGAATCCAGTCGGTCTTATGATCAATTAATACGAATATACTTTAGGCACGAAGAAAGGATAGATGGCAATATCTTTCACTCTGATCCTCACTATGGCAGAGCTGACGGTCGCTTGTGTTATGCAATGGCGAACAAGCAGAGTCACACGGTTCATCAAAAAACTTCATATTTGATCATATACAAATTCATTACTATAGCTGACAGAATACTAAACAAAACCCCGATAGCCACGCATTTTGATGTCTATCCAGAGGTCTTAGTAAATGAGTAGGCGGAAGAGAAATGATACGAAGGTGTCCCGGGTAGAGTCATGAACAAGACATCAAATCGGAGTCGAGGCGGCCGTTTCTTGGAGAGCGAATATGATGGTGGTTGAACTGGAGGTTTGGGATCTCGTCAGAGAACATTTGCACGTAGTCACAGTTGCTCGGATGGTCGGAAAGCTATTCTCTGGCTTGGGCAGGCGTCTCGACTGTATTGTGGCCAGTGACAGGTTCATCCGACTTTTCCTCTGATACCTCCCGGAGCTTCTCTTGCAACACTTCCTGGGAATTCTCTTGCAACACCTCACGGGGCTTCTATTGCACCGGAAGTTGTGCTCTTTGCGTTAGTCCACATGGCTGACGGTACAGTCGGTCTGGTAATGATCGATCAGAGAAGGATTACCATACAACTATGATGTAACGTGCTCGAGCTTGTTTCCATTGGGGGTCAGAACGCTGGGAAGGCCGAGCGGGACGTGATGGATCTATTGTGTAATCCCGATCCAGGCGCAAGTCTCTTAGGATTTCGTTGGAAGATTTATAACGACGAGCAGAAGCCATTGTGAATGATTTGTCTTGTGAAGAAAGGGTGTTGAGGGGTGGCTCAAAAGGGTGAGAACTGACTCGAATCTGGGAGAACTGACTTGAAGACGGGAGAAGTGATTTGAAGTTATAAATGGCCAAAGTCAATGAAGAAAGTAACTACAATGGCTTCAGAGTCTATGTTATTGTACCTTTCAGTATTTTGAGTCACACGTGTATGCAAAATTCTTTCATCCATAACTTTATATTTCTTCGCCTATATAAAGCACGATTCCCCTCTGCATAGTAGAAAGTATTTCTTCCTCAATCATCTTCACTTTCTTTGAGCTGTTCACACTTATAAGCTGTCCACACACATACTCTTTACGCACGTATCCTTCATACACATAAAGCTTTTGACACTTATACGCTCTTCACACTTGCAAAGTCCAAACAATCTCTTGGCTCTTCAAGTATTCCTCATTAATAAAAGATAAGCTTTTATGATACGACAAGACATACTCTCAATATGTCTTTCTACGATTATTATGACGACTCTCAGGAGTCAAACGAGTACTACACCAGAAAAATCTCCAAGACGTCTAGCTGCACAGAATGGAGAGGCTGGACAGGCGAATACTCATCCCTGACACCTACATCTTACTCCATTGAGGCCTCTAGAGCCTATTTTACTGAGTCGATGGTCTCTTCGGCTGAGACTCTGCCATACCCGACTACAGAGAACAGCGCCTACTATGCTGACACCAAGTCCACAACATACATGTCTTCGTCTTGGAACGAAGGAGCTGGTCGATACGACTATTATGAAGATACCACAGCAGCTAGTCGTTTCACGTGCTATAACGACTACTATGCATATGACGAGCAGGGTGTTGACACCGATTTCTCCCATCTCGAGGACAAGCCTGCCCCTTCTGACGATGCTTATGTCTCGCAAGCCACACAAACATGCGAATTACCCACTCATTGCCCCGAGAAATCACAGAGCTCTAATAAACATTTCTCTGATGAATCTCTTCGCTCTGACAAACGTCGTTTTGACAAACATCGCTCTGACACAGCTGATCGCCCTTCTCGCCCCTCCAGCAGTCCCCTTTCCAGCGAAAAGCCTTCCAAATCTCTCAAAACAACTACACAAAACTGGGTTAACAAGCAAAGCCCAAAGCTCGCCAAATACTCCAAAATGGCTCAGGTCGCTACGCAGAATTGGGTGGACAAGCAAAAAGAGAATACGCGAGAGTTGGTTGACAAGCAAAAGAAGGATGCGTTGATGGTTGGTCGACTACTTGGCAAGGACTATCGTCTCAAGCTTAACTCTCAGAGCTCACAAAAAATGGCCAAGGGTTTCTCGTCTGTATGCCCTTAGTGGCTGCTCTCTCCGATGCCCCGACAGTCACACATGCGCTGCGGTGGTATATCTTACTTATGAGTCGAGAGTTGAAGAGCTTGTGGGTTACCCTCTAGGCAACAAAGCGATTCTCCTCCAACTTTACCTCGGACATCATAAGCTGGTCTTAAGTCACATAGAATGACCTAAGCTTTTCGTCTCTTATCCTCTAGGGGGATGTATATCAAGCGGTTCTTTGGTCCACATAAAGTGGCCATTGATGATGTTATTACAAAGCGTTGGTGAGCTATGATGGAATGATTGGATGATGGATGATGGAATGCCGCATCAATTGCGATTTCCTGTACTAGAATACACATATACACAGCGACTGCTTGAATACATGCTGCTTTTCCTCTTATTGTCAACAAACAAGAGAACCAACAAACGTCTACTTCTTCTCTCTTCTCTTGACTTCTATCTTAACACCACTCGGTGGGCTATTAGCCTCGGCGATCCAGATGTTAGGCGGTCTCTTCCCTTCGTACTCATCCGGGAACTTGATATCGTAATTCTTAACAATATAAGCCAGAATCATCTTCAACTCAAAGTCAACGAGGAAGCGACCAGGACAAGCATGCTTTCCGTGTCCGAAGGCCAAGAACTCTGGTGATGTCGTGACAAATGTGACAGGAGGTGCTTTCTCGCCTTGGCTAACAGCCAGTTCGCGCGCGCGTGAGAAACGGAAGGGATCGTACTTGAGAGCATCCTCGTATTGTGTTTCATCAGTCATTGCGGGGTAACTGATGAAGTTGGTAAGGGTGCCTTGGGGAAGGTGGTAGCCGTCTTGGGTCTTGAAGTCTGGTGTCATTACTTTGCGGAAGATGGCGCGTGAGCCGAAGGAATTCAGACGGATTGACTCGCGAGAGACACTGTCGGCGCGAGTCATGGATTGAATGGCACTCTTTGTCCAGCCGGAGGTGTCGTCAGATCCAAGAATGCGGTCCATCTCTTCGCGGAGAACAGAGATGGTGTTGTACTCTGCGTCAGATCCAAGAACGTTGAGAAGGAGGTTGATGACTGATAGCTGCGTGTTGTGAACAGAGCCAAAGTTCGAGGCTACGATGCGTCGCGCGAGAAGATCCCAGTTGCCGACTTCGTCTGGTCGTTCCTTGAGGGCATATCGGACCATCATTTGAAGGATATCGTCTTCCTCCGGTTCTTCTTGGTGATTCTGGGCCTTATCGAAACGTTCCTTCAATAGAGGAACAACCCATTTCTTGAACTGCTTGACTTTGCTTTCGACCAACCAACCGAAGAGAGTACCTGGGATTGCTGAAAGAATACGAGGCATGCCTCCAGTAAGACCAGCGTTCAAGATGAAAAGCTCATCAGTATCCAAAACATTCTGAAGATACTCCTTATTGCGACCTACATCGTCAGCGACATCCCTCATTAGTCAGTGTGGAAGACCTACAAAGTGGTAGTCCGACCGTAAAACGACTAGCAGCCTGAGCAACAATCATCTTAACAGTCTGCGTGAGATCAACCGTCTTCCAATTCTCCGTGTCGGTACCAAACTGGTCGTCAAACACCACTGCCAGCTCATCCTTCATGCTGTTGGCGATGACCTCAATCGCGCGGTTCAGGTCATACTTGACAATCATGCCCTGCCAGGCATCCACGACATATCGATCGTGGCCGAGAGCCCATGTGACTTGATCGATCTCAGCAAAAGCCTGTCCTTGGTCGAGGACATGGTCGGGTTGGGCCATTATCCATTTCATCTGGCTCTGGGGGAGATAGACTTCTATTCTGACGCCAAAGCCTGGAAGGACGACTGGCTTGCCTTGTTTGAGGTACTGCCATGCGTTAGCACACTGTAAATAAGGGTGCAATGATATTCGCACATCATGGTAAGCTTCATGAAAAAGCGATTTACAATCCGTAAGATACACCCATCGCGTACGTAGACTGAACCGCTTCGCACCCTTAGGTTCCCTTATAAGGGGAATACCCTCAGGATAAGGCACGCTAATAAACTTTTCGGTAATAAACAGTCCGATAAGCAAAACAGCAGCGACAGCAGCCAAACCAAGGGGGCTCGTCAGAGCGGGAAGACGAGCCAGTAGCTCAGGCCCTACATCCATAGACATTTTGAAGATACGGCCGTCAGGCTTTCCAAAGGGGCCTACGCGGGGAGAGAGTTGTATTTAACCCATGCCGTTTCATTCAACAATCCACAATGGCTCTAGCGTGAGGAGAGGCGAGGCCGGGAACAAGCTCCTCCGCAGGTCCACCGCTAGAGATGGCGTAGCGGTAGTTGTTCTAGTGCGAAACATTGCCAGTCAAGCCAGTCAAGTTGCGTAGTTTCGTCAGCACTTGCTGTCTCTAGCTGTCTCGAAGAGATGGATGCTGCATCTTGGATATTCCTTCGGCCCTGTGCCGCGAAGAGATAACGATATGTCCGCGTATATGCAGGGATTTGGAAGGATTCACTAGGCATCGTCATGAAGAGTTGCATTGTTGTGACGTCGTTGCATACGAGTACGAAGATTGGTGTTCATGCTGGTTTGTGAAGGATTCAGAGATATCACCAAAACAGAAGGGTTATGTAAATTGTCCCGAGGACTTGGGAAGTTGTTGGTTATGCGCGCTTACTCGCTTGTTGAGAGCGTTGGTTTCACAAAGTGTTTACGAACCAACAAACAATCGTACATTCCGAGATGTGACAGCCACTCGGTGACATAATAGCAGCTTATCACACCACTGATAGAACACACCCTGCAGTGATACTCATTATTCTAGAATTCTTCGATAGCGACAAAAACAACAGTAACATGATTGATTCTCACCTCCAATTCCTCTTCACCAAATCTACAGGGTAACTTCCCTCCACTGTAGCTGTAGCACTCCACCCAAAAAGCCAGGCTGTCCCTGAAAGTCCACCTCACTAATTTAAACCCTCCACCCGCCGCCCACAGCCACTCTCCAAAAAATCTCTTCTTCTCCAACTAACAAACCCTCTCCTCATGAATATGATCTGCAATAGAGACATCTTCTTTCAACAATTAAGAGCCAC